ATGTAAATAAAATATTTAGATGAAATGTTTACGTATATTATAATTTTGTACACGTAATTTTCATGTAATTTTTTATATTATTTATATAACAAATAATCAGCAATTTCCGTTAATTAACCTGCCATGTCAGCCAAAAATTAACGGAAGGACCAAAAAGGGGTCGAATTTGTGAACAGTAAGGACCAAAAAGGGAATTTTCTCGGTACAGGGACCAAAAAAGGGCTTTTTCTTATAGTAGAGGGACCAAAAAGGGTATTTAACCTTAAATCAAATAAAATCAATATTTTCTAACACAATTGTAATAAAACTTCAACAAATTTATCAGCCCCATAACCATATCCTTAATCAAGGGTGTGTGGTGTAAGGGCAGCCATACGAGACAAGGCAAGGTGCAGAGCTCAGAGCTAACCGCACCTCGGCTGCAGAGCTCAGAGTTTACCGCACTTCGACACTTCGCCGTGGGTGTATGACAGCCACAATAGGCACGCCCTCATCTGATCATTTGTCCGTATCAGAACACCCCTTCTTAAGGAACCTGCTCTGCCAGAACGCACCACGCGCATTTAATGCGGTTGCTCCGTTAAGGCACGTTACGCTCACCTAAAACGTCTACTCCGTCAAGCACACCATGTCACCATTATTGGATTGACTAGGCCACGTGGGTGTGGACAAGCCACGTGGGTGCCTTGCCAAACGGGACAAAGCCCACAAGGTAAGACTCGATAAATAGGCGGAATAAAGAGAGGAAGGATGATCAGAAAAATACTGACTTAAGCATCGGAGTTTCTCCCCGAGGACCAACCTTGGGATTTTGCAGGACCATTTGGAGAAGGATCAACTCGAAGCAGGAATTCAAGGATATTCAGCAACTACATGTGGCATATATTCCTAATCAGTAGATAAGATCATAAGAATCACAATAAATGCAGGTCACGATCTCATGATAAATCTGTGTAGTGAATAATAGAGGCTATAATATGTTCAAAACTTCAAATCAACTTTAAAATTGTAACGATAATTGCAAGAAAGACGAGTTAATGGCTTAATGCGTGGGGCATGATGATCACATCAAGATCTAAGTCCGTTTTTGTATTCATCTCTTAATAGTTTCTTGAATTCTTATACCGATTACAAATTCACAACTAAATTTTTGACACATCAGATCCCATATGCAATTTGATTGGTGTGTTTAATATTTTAATAATAATTAAAATTTAGATTATAACATTATTATATTATAATTTTTCATCTCATACTCTAAATTATACCTGTTCAAAAAATTAAAAAAACTTTTGACATGAACTTATTTAGCCTGTGCCAGTTTTCTTATAAGGGATATATGATTAAAAGAATTTATATTAAAAAAAAGTACTATTAATATTTTTAAAAAAAATTTTGAATTGTATAATAAAAAAATAAAATTTTTTATTTTTTATTTATATATCATACAAATTGAATTTAAAACTTTTTACTTTTTGTTTTTAAAAAATACCATTGCATCGTTTTGATTGTCTGCGACAACTTCTTTTCTTTCTTTGATTTTGGATGGAGGAGTACTATCTAAGTCAACTTGATTAATACGAATCGAGTTGAGTTAGGCTCTGTTAAAAAAATTTTTTATCAGTGTTTATATTTTTATTAATAAAATTAAAATTTAATATTTTATTTAAAAAAATAAATTTTTTTCATTTAAACTAATAAATTGTTAGCATAAAATCTTTTATTATCACAACTAGAAATGCATGTAAGACGAAGTGATTATTAATGTGTTTAGTAATGACTACATTTGAAAATGTGGATTAAGAATGAGATGACAGGAAC